GGAATTTCAAAAATATCAGGTTTTTTTTATGTTTTTTTTTAAAACCTTGACTTAACTTGAACAAAGTGTTGAGTGGAAGCATTCAGTTAAATGAGTACAGCATATTACAGTTAATCCACTGTTATAAGAAATTTCCAAGTCACCTTCAAAATCCTAACTTTAAAATAGTATGTTTCGTACAAATCAAAAATTACTAGAATTTTGCTATTACGCCGGAATTTTTATGATGAAAATGCATTTTCCTGCTATTTATGTGAGCAGTAGTACGCGAAAAAGATTTAAATTGGAGAAATGTTTATTTATTTCTGGTATTAATGATGAAAAGGGAAAAAGAAAATACATTCGAACCTCACTGTGGTGACGGTGATCGTTTTAAATTAATTAGTGGATTCGTACTAGTAGCATTATTTACTTTTGGCTGTTACATATACATTTTAATTTGGATGTAATATAATGATAATTATTTCAGAGAAATGAATAAAATCGTATAAGAAGAATTTATTTATTAAGTATTAAAGATGACCATAATTCAAAATATAAAAATTAAGAAAAACCCCTCAAGAAAAATCACTCTTCATATTGAGAATTTCTATTAAGATTGATATTCAACGGTTGTGCTCGGGAGACCCAAGAGGGCACCCCCAGTCTCCAAAAATTGGATATTGAAAGTGAATGAACTGCTCCCAGCGGACAGTTGGAGCGTGGAAAGAGATGTACGGTTGGTGATTTATTGAAAGATTACTTTGCCAAAAATGAAGCCAACCCCCATAATCAATATAAGATTGATTGAGAATCACCAACAATACTGTGATAATTAGTTTAACCATGGAATTGAAACATATTTGTCGTTAGAATTAAAGGTTAAAGAGTTCTAAATAGATTTTTCTTTTCAATTTAGTGAATTAATGGACTTACATTAGTATTGAAATAAAAAGTTAGCCACTACATTGCAAAGAATAAAATATTTTAAATTCGCTTTTTATAAATTGTAATAAAAATTAAATAATTGATTTTATTTAATTAAAGTTGGATTAAGAATGATTTAAAGAAAAATAAGGTAAAGTAATTAAAGAAATTTTAAAGGCTAGGAAATATTCAATGCCCATTTTGGCATCGCACTCATCACTTAACATTATATATCGCTTTTCATGAAACACATGTTTGATTCTATCTATATTTCTGTTTTGGTGCAGCAATCAATTATTCTTGTATTTTACGTGAAATCTTTTGTGTGCAGAGTTGGCTCCTTGAAAGTCATGGCAGTGTACTATCTCTGTGATGCATTTGCTTTTATCGTGAATCGATGTAATGTTTCGATTGTATATTGTTGATTATATTATTATTGATTTTATTATTGATTATCACATTTATTTTAAATATCATGATACATTTCACACAATGTGGAAAATTCAAATCGTGCATGCGAGTATTTACTTTTTAAGGCGATAATTCTATTGAATTTTTGATAGTTATTGCTATTGATTTCTGTGTAGTTTTTAAATCTAACATTTTTTATGCGATATTATTTATTACAAGAACAAACCTAATCTCCAAACAAAACAAGCATCTGTTTCGCTCAATTTCATTGCTAATCTTTTTTTCCCTCTCAATTACTATTACAGATTTCATGATTTTTAACTATTTTTTTTATTGTTTACAAAATGGGAAGAAGGAAATACTTTGTGCGTTCCTCCCCCCCCCTACAAAATGTGAGAATATCACCTATAATATTAGAATAAAAAATTATTACTAGTTCTATTAAAAAAAAAAATTAAGTGTAAACAATGCATTGACTGGAAGAGAGGTAGTCCTCCAGTGGATCCCTGGCCACTGTGGCATTTACGGAAATGAACGGGCTGACATGTTGACTAGAGAGGCTTCAGCACTGCATCCATCTTCTCATCCAGTTCCCCTTAGAAATGCAAGGCGGCTTCTTAAGAGCAAATGCAGGCACAGAACAATATTTGCTCTTAGGGACTTAGCTGATGGAAAATTATTTTACTTGATTTAACATGAAATCTTTTGTGTGCAGGGATGGCTCCTTAAAAGTCATGGCAGCGTGCTATCTCAAGAGCAGCATTGAAACAGTTTATCAGAAGACTCCCTTTCACGGAGTGCATCAGATTCCAGCGTCTGCAATCCCAACCTTCATTATAAGACTCCTGGTACACCTCAGCAGTCACATGGGTAGGGTATCCATTAACAGCCTTATGCATACCTGCCAATTCTCCTGTTTTTTTTTATCAAAGACTCCTGTATTTTACGACTATTTCCTGTTTGCCTGTATATTCTCAAATTTCTCTGTATTTGTTGAAGAAATTAAAAAAAAGAAAAAAAAAGCAATAATATGCCAGGGATCTCTTTAGAAAAAATTTGGGTTCAGAAGAAATTTCACAAAATATTTTAACTTAAAAACGGACCCTTCACAAAATAATTTTTCTTTTATTTGGACCCTCCACAAAATTGTTTATCTTCTTTATTGTTTTGTAAATTGAATAAACCCTTCCCCGGAGGGGGGGGGGNTAAAATATTTAAAAATTAATAATCAAAACAAAGATATTTAATATTTCTCCGGCACAGATAACGTGAACTATTTTTATTTTCAGCAAAAGTTTTATCTCCTTTTAAAATCAGATTTATTAAGTTTAAGCTCTTCACTTCTTCCAGAAAACTCAAGTAATAAAAGAAATTAACTGCTTTAAAAAATGTGCAAGTTTAGAAATTAAACCATCTAACAATCAATGAACATTCATAATAAATATCGTAAAATTAAAAAGTAATATCAAAAAAACCTGTACTACCCTTAATGTCAGAATTTGTTCACTTTTTTCCCTTTGTATTTAAAAAATAACAACTGATTGAATCGAGGGAATTATTTTAAGTAAGAAAAAAATATTCATGCGAATCTTAAAAAAGTTCTTGAATCAGATTAAATAAGTCTCCTACTGGTGGCTGAGTCAGCCAATCTGGTATACTCCCCATACAAGCTATCATCGAAGGCGAAAGAAAAGGAGACCTCTTCATCGAAGCCACCCTCCCTAAAATGCTCTCTTCTTGTTTCCATAGCACCAGACTGCCGCAGACTTTGTGGCGGACAGAGTACCTATCGTAGACAAACAGTATGTCTTCACAATTTAAAAACTCGTTGAAAATTTTTTTTTGTTATAACAGGACCCTATTTGCACAAATTTTCAAAAACAGGACCTGGTTGAAAGAATGTGACTTATTGTTTATTTTATATTCACAAATTACGAGTCATTTTTTCACACTTTTACAAAAACGAATCTTTTACAAAACGTCTGGACAGACCCCTGTATACCCGTTGTTGGCAAAAATACTTCTCTTATTCCTCAGCAGATAGTGCTATTATCAATACTGCAGTAGTTTATAGTTAAAGTAATTCATGGTTTCTTTAGTTTAAGATTTATATACATATTTTTTGCTTCGCTAAATGTAAGTGCTTATATTATTTCCAATTTTTAATTTATCTTTTTGACTCACACGATGTATCAAAGCTTTACTCGTGGCCCAAAAAATTTCATTACTAAAATCTTCTTTATTTTATTTCTCTGATGTTGGCAGGTAGCATTTAAATACTTTTCATTTTAAATAAGTTTTTTTTTTACTTGTTTATTTTATAATATTTTATTGAAGGTCTTCCAACAGTCCTGAGAGTGGTCTAGGAACAAGTCACCCAAGCATTACTGATGGTGATGCGGATAGTTTTCCTGATCCTGAATTTGAAAATGAATATGAAAATAATGATGAATTTGATGCTATTTTAGGAACAGGCAGGGCTTTGTATCCATTTACTGGTAAAAATAAATATTTTTATTTTCAGTAATCTCTCTTGGATTTGAATTTCATAATATTTACAAACGATGTTTTACCACCTCCCTTATCAATTATTTTGAAGAAAAAAAACATTGAAAAAGTCAACATAATTTTTTATTTTATTAATAAATATAAGGAACCGAAACGAAACATAATGCACAAGTTTTAAGTTTTTATTGAAGGTCTTCCAACAGTCCTGAAAGTGGTCTAGGAACAAGTCACCCAAGCATTACTGATGGTGATGCGGATAGTTTTCCTGATCCTGAATTTGAAAATGAATATGAAAATAATGATGAATTTGATGCTATTTTGGGAACAGGCAGGGCTTTGTATCCATTTACTGGTAAAAATAAGTATTTTTATTTTCAGTAATCTCTCTTGAATTTGAATTTCATAATATTTACAAACGATGTTTTACCACCTCCCTTATCAATTATTTTGAAGAAGAAAAAAAAAACATTAAAAAAGTCAACATAATTTTTTATTTTTTTAATAAATATAAGGAACTGAAACGAAACATAATGCACAAGTTTTAAGTTAAAATTCCAGGGTGCGTAGCGTTTGTAAAAAGTACTTAAAGGTGCTTTTTTGGGGATTTCGTTTTTAAAAGCTTTTAAAGGTGCTTTTTTCAGCTGGCGTTTTTAAAAAATGCTTTTTTTCTGAATAATTATTTTTTCCCCCTTCAGTGATATCTGGTGGATCCCATGCATTTCACGAAAATTAGGGAGTTTTGTACGTGATCATTCACGCGGACTTCATGTCGTACCCACGTTATGACTTGCGCATGCGCGCACACTTGAAACCAAAGCCCGAGTGCTCCAATTCGGATAGAGAATATCAGATCCTTATGAAATGTTTTTTTAAAAATTTCTTTTAATTTTGTTCTTGTTTATTTTATTTTACTTCTAACACTTTTTTTGACGTAGGGGGTAAGGATACTTTTGTTCTGAGTTCAGGGTCAAGTTGAATTCACTGTGGGAAATGTACTGATTGTTTCGATTTACGCCCGTTTCTTTTTGGTTTTTTTTAACGCTAAAACTGTTTATGAAAAGTTTTTGTTTTTCAATAATATAATTGATTGAATATGAATTTTTTGAGTGCTTGAAAATTTTTGTAAAGTGCTTGAAAAGTTTTTAAAAAGTGCTTATTTTTGATTCAAAGATTTGGCTACACACCCTGAATTCGAACTTTTTTATGTGTAAGAAACCTTTAATTTAAAATCAGCGTACTATCCCGAGTTATTTCGGGCAAATGAAAAAAGTTAAATGTGAGTCTTTGTATGATAGTTTTTAAAACAAGGTACAACACAAAGTGATACTTTTCAAACGTCAGTGAAGGAATACGACATTTTTAAATTTTTTTATTGCTATGTAAATTCAGCAACAATCGCACAAAACATTCCATCGCACGATACATGTGTGCAATCCTACAGTCCAACATCAAAACTCCCAAATAAAACTTGGCAAACTTCCTATCACCGCAGATTATGTTTTTTTTTTGCTTCCGACCGAGAAAAAGCGTGATAAAGCAAAATGTTTTGCTAAGCCCGAGTTTTCCGGGATGATAAATATTTGCAATATATACGTACCCAAGTTAACTCGGGATAATCATGGAAGTGGTTAAGAAAGCTACATTTAATGTTTCCTCTAAGGACTTGTTTCAATATATGCTACACCAAATGTACGTACCCAAGTTAACTCGGGATAATCATAGAAGTGGTTAAGAAAACTGCATTCAATGTTTCCTCTAAGGACTTGTTTCAATA